ACGCAAAGTGCTGAGTAACATAGACGCGTGAATATGGGTGATAACTACTCCCTACCAAAGAATGATAAGCAGTTTCCACATAGAACTGTCGTTGGTCATGGAAATGAATTCCTCGATGTTTGAAAGAGCTAGTTCAGTATCTTTAATGCAATGTGGTTTATGATCTTCAGTGGACAAAGAGGAAAACATAACGTGATTTCGGTTGCTAAACAGTATTAAGTCTTGAATAAATGAATAAGTAATTAAGGGAGATAAAGAAATGGTAACTTGCCTTCATTATCTTTTATTATATATTTAATTCTATCCATATCAATTTGTGAAGATTTCACATCTAAATATCGGAAAGATTCAAAATGTCAATTACTAATTCATCCAACACGTAAATCACGATCATAAAAATGTATCCACAAGAGGAGGATGGTAAACTTGATGTGTGTATCATTGTCATATAATTGAATGTATCCACTATATATGCGTAAGGAAGCGTAACTAGCTCCTTTTGCTGATATGAAACAATGTGACTTAAATAAGGTGTAATCGCTTTGTCAGTTGAGGTTATAATTACAGAATACCGTTACAAGAACTAAACATCATTAGTTTACTGGTCATTCGATTTGAAACGACTCTCCCATAATTAGAATAGGAAGCCTTGACTAATATCAGTGAGTTATCATTCATTATCCTTGTTTGACGATTACATAATTCTTCTTAAAATTACTGAATTTTAAAGTGAGAACAATCAAAATATGAGTCAGTGATCTAAATGTATCCTACTTGTCATCAGATATGAATCGTCAATTTTGCTAGCCATCAATGGTTCACAATGTTGAGAAGAACGTAACTAGCATTAAATGACTGTACAGTGATATCCGCTGTCTTCTATTTGACCACGTCATTGGGAGATTACGAGGAATGTCATCTTGAAACTAAATGCATTGCAAATGTGATCACCTGTGATTTGTAAACAAGATGTAACAGATAACAAACAACTACAGAGTAGCAGTATAACAATCACATCAGAGCATGAGATTCATGTAAAATGAGTAAATAGAGATGATATTATTGGTAGTACAAACTGTTGCTTCATAGTCAGTTTTGTCATAGTTTATTTCGACACTTGTTTGTCGAAAAGAGCTTTCTTACACTGAAATGGTATCAGTGGATAAATCTGAAATAAACTGAATGACAAAGATTCAAACGTTCATCTTCGTCATTCTGTTTCCTCTTTGATAATGCTGAAACAGAACCACAATTCAAATAGCTTATCACTCGAGGTAGATTACAACAAATCTATGTCAATATAACAATCAGAACACTATGTTAACTATAACTAGTCAAGTATGGTTAAAGTCAATATTGGTGAAATATTATATCTTATGAATATTCGAACACACTCACCCATTTGTTTGGTTACACACAGCAACAGAATAATGATGATACAGTCGTACGCCATAGAATGAAGTACAATTCTGTTGTATATCCTAATGAAACGAAGCTTTCACTGTCGTTCTTTATATAGTGAATACAGAACAGAAAGGTTTGCACCAATCACATTTTAATAAATACTGTAAAATATTTGAATAACGATGTATGGCGTTGGTGGTTTCGATAATCCATCTTCATAGTCGGTCGTTCCACATATAGAAAACACCCACACTCATATAGATCGGAAGTATTTCTTTGATCACATTAAATGATTGAAGTTTATCTTTTGTTATTTGACTTCATTTAATGAATGATTGTTAACAAAGAAAACAAAACCAGACTAGTTCTATCTGGAATGCGCTAATCCTGTCTGGTCAACACTGATATGTTCACAGTAGTGTACAAAAGTCTATAAAAATATGATTAGACTGAAGAAATATTTTGTCTCAATTAGCTGTTCATTAAGTCTCTATGGAGATAGTTTGGTTTTACAAGTGAGTAGAAAGCCGATACCATTTAGATGATGGTGAGTCAAGTTAGCATTTGAATGATTGAAACCATAACTGAAGTGAGGTTTCATAATCACCTAATTATCACAACTACTTGCAAAAGAGAATCAATGGGAATGGAGATTGTATGTAAGTAATGTTGATGATGTTTTTGTTAACGGTTAGAATATTGATTCGCTTACAGTAAGATTTATCCAATTAAAATATACAATAAAAATGAAAGCATCAATGACAAGGTTGGATTTGATAGATTCAAATAAATTGAATATTGGGTAGAAAGTGAATAACCGAATTCGGTTATTTGGTCGTCGCAATTGTTATATTTGGTCGTCACTGATTGTTGTGCCAGAAAAACGCTGATCACTTATACTCAGAACGAGAGACCTCTGCAATTCCCACGATACGAAAGTAAGAACACAAAGACTAGTATAAGTGAAGATTTATTAGCCTCAAAACACTATGACGACGACTACGATTATGATGATAATAATAATAATGAATAACGATAGTCTAAAATACACTGGTTTATATATTGATTGTACACCCATTTTGATTGAGAATTAGGACTAAATCACATACTCAGCTATAACAAATCACTTACTGAGCATAGTTCATGTCAATGGAATACAAGAATATCTCGTATATTATACAGAAGAAAATATTATACTGGGAAAACAAATCAAGTACTACATTAAATGATCCTCACGTTGAATCAAAACGGATGTTGAATAAAACTCATAATGAGTAATTCCATCATACCACGAAGTAATATTGTTTATATCTTTGTAGCCAAGTCATTCAACACCCAAGCTTTGCATCCCAAATCCCCAACAAACTCTGAAGTCTTATATAGATATGAATCCCACATATATCTAGAATTTCTATCTACACACTTATGTTATGCAGTCACAGGTATTTTTGTTGACAATCTCACTAGATTTCGAGGTTTTTACGCCTCTTTTCAAGCGCACGTGGTTTGATAAGTATAAAACTACAAGGACCTGGTCTCAACAAAGTCACACCATTCTTCTCAATCCACTCTAGAAACATTTGTACATTGATAGTTTTAAATGATTTATTCTGGCTTTAGGACAGAGTTCAAGACCTTGTGCAGCATATGACTACTCGGTCATTTTTACCTCCATAATACCTTCATTTTTTTAGGGAACTGTGGCATTTAGCAAGTATATGCTTTATATTGATGAGCTTATTATTCTACTCTTATACACCTTGTCTTTACTTGCGTGTGTGTGTGTCACTCATTATTTTATCCAGCGCCTTTCCCATTGTCACACTGAGAAGTATCTATATTCAGCTAAGCAAGAACACTGAGTGGAAAAACGTAGTTGACACGCGTGCCTACATAATTGGCAAGATCAGTTTTTAAATCTTTACTTACAAGCTTCATTGTTCCGTCATTCATATTGTTAGCTTGATTGCTGCCATTTTCCTTCTCTTTATTAAAATTTACTCAAACTTTATTTCGCAGATATTCAACTCTTCCCATCATCTTGTTCAATTCACATGACAATTCAATGTTTAGTTATCAGTGTTACACTCACTGTTTATTTACAATAACACCCAGTGAAATTCAAACAGGAACATTGTCTCGCAACGACTTTCACATCTCGATTAGGTTTCATCCCCGATGTTTTTACCCTCGTGTGTTTGGATCCCATTTTCAACATTCTTGTCAGTGAATGAAACTGTACACTTTAACAGTTGTCTAAATGAGTGATTACACACAAAACAGAACACAATTATAGTGTATTGATATTAAGACGTCAATGAACTGGTATGATAAACCATCAGTCGGGGAAACGTAAACGAGAGGTTTGACAAAGAATCTCAGTAGGCATTTCCACCCAGATCATCTGATTACTAATTCAACACTCACATACAAACAGATTGGATTCAGAACACTTGACCCTAATGTAATCTGACTTCAACCTGGTTAATAGTATGGTTTGTCTACCCAGAACTGGCAAAGCTTTACGTCGATTAAATCGTACGTTGGACTATACAGAAGTTTCTTTCTGTGAATTTTGAAAGGCTCGAATTGTTTAACGAAACAATACAAGTAAAACCTACTATAGTCATCGTTTTCTACTAACAAACATATCATTGGATTATTGTGGTAAACAGTAGTCGAGGATTGTTATATCCTAATGAAGAATAAATGAATGTTAACTATTGGTAATTATCTATGGACTGTTGCTGTATCTAGATCCATATTGTTTAATTTTTATGTTACTAGATTACATATATTTATATTCTCTCATTATAAGCATTTATTTGGCCGATATGCTACTATTACATGATTTACCATTGTTTAGTTATTCCTAGTCCATTATATACAGTCAATACACTCACAGCCACTATTGGCTTAATCTTGTATAAATGTCATTGTCTACTTCATGGTATGATGCGGACTGATTTTTTTGTATGCGAACTACATATGTCTAAAATACATGATTCATAAAATGGAAGCTGAGATCGTGTTTTGAACACGACGGGCATGACAAAAAGATAAGTCCCAATAAGTATTCTGAGGTGACTCATGAAACACTCATCCACACTAAGCACTGTAGATCATATAATCAGAAACTTCGTTTGACCTAATTATACAGCGATAGTAAACGGTAGTATCTATTTTTATTACCTTGACGTATAGTTTGTTCGATGGAGCTAAGTACCCACCTATATTCCTAATTAAAACCTTGAATCACTATTCAGAATATAACACATGACCAAGTTAAACTTATCCGACAGGTTACTTTATCACTCAGATCTATCACTAACTTATAGAGCCTGAAATTAAAGTGAGATCGGGAAACAAGTAATCGGTTTTCATGAGAGTATACACTAAAATCTAAGTTTAATTAGATTATTGTATGTATATTGCCATAACTGATTGTCTAAACTTTAATACATCTGTTTAGAACGTTACAGCAACCAACAATCTCAAAAAAGACGAGAAGAGCGATAAATCACTCTCTTCTCAATTTTTAAGTGAATAGGGAAAATTCCTACTATATTACAATCACCAATTCGATCACAAACCCGCTAAAAACAAAAGTTTATTATTTACTGGTAAGTTAAAATGAACAATACGTGAAAATAATTGTTGTGGAAGTACTCATAGTGATTACTCATTGAAAGTTACTATTCATTTAACCACCACAGAAACCTCAGGTGAATTCATTGTTTATATTTAAAAATCATCCCCATATTTGTTAATGAAGGTTGCCAAATTGCACTCCGAGTATTGTAAACAAATCTGGGAAATGTGAGTCCAGATAATTTGCTTCCAGTATAGCTTTTTGCTTCGAGAAACATCCCAACTATGTTTCTTGGAGGCAAGTGCAATTTGCGCGACGACTCGTTTTCATCTAGATTCAAAACTTCCCTCACTTTACATGCTATATTCTGAACAGACTGCGTAGAATTATCAATTTACCTTAATATCTGCAAACTCAGTCACGCCTAAATGAGGAAGTGTTGAAGAGTGGATATTAATTAGACTGCGACCATCAATTTGATTTTCAGTAAAACATTCCTATTACATATGCATTAAGACAACACATATTTAACCTTGTACTGAGAATATCCAATGCCTTCAATCCAAGAAGCAACTTGATTAACATCCCAAAGTAAAGCTTTTGGGATTTGAGTGCTATTACAGATTTCGGCGAAACTCATCACTATCAATGCAGAATATCGAATTTCCGCCACTCATATCTACGGCTACATGCCAACATCCAATAACATTGCGACGATTTTGAACTTTTGTAGCTAGTACTTCTATATAATTAAATCATTCATCCTAGCTTTCGGACGGACTTTAACAACTCATGTAGTATGTGACTACTCAGTCGTTTTCGCCTTCATTGGGAGTTTTGGCCTTCAATAAGTATACATTTTATATTCATGAGCCTTTGATTCTACACTTACATGTCTTGTTTTTATTTTTGTGTGTCACTCATTATTTATCCAGTACTTGTCTCTATATTTTACTAAGAAGTAACTATATTGAGCTGTATCAGCGATATTAGTGGGTAATAAAAGGGAGTTCACACACTTGCCTTCGCCTTACCTCGCTTGCCCAATTATCATTTTTGAGATCTGACTGATGAAACAAACGCATAGAATAAATTACTTCTACTTAGTCAGTATTTGACGGCTTATAACCGCCTTCATCTAAACAGAGTTAATCCAGGTGTAGTAGATGGAGTTAAATAGATTATTAGTATTCTAAAACTAAACAGTCCCAGCAAATTATATTTTTACAATATTAAGGGCTATAAGATTCGGTGTAAAGAAATAAAGGGAACACAACAGTCAAGACCAGTAGGTGAAAGTGTTTGCACAAACAATGTGAAATGACGAAAAATGATAATGATTGTGGCAGTAATAATACACTTGACAGTACTGGGAATGATGCGACTGTTCTATATGGGGCTTGATCTTTCCTATCTTCTCCCTCCAACATAGCTAGAGAATACCCTGTTCCATTTATCTCGAAGTTACTATAAGACCGGTGAGTGGCTAAACATATCACACGCCCTTGAATAAATTATTTGATCCACTGTTTCACTATTATAAAGCGGATGATATCACGTCCAGGCGATGTTTAAAATATTCACTATTTAATTCCCTATAACACTAACCCAGGAATCAAGTAGATGATTCTCAAAGCGATCTCTGGCTTAGTATGGTGAAATGTTCCGCACTCGTTGGTTTCAGGGACTGTTTATTAGCAAGAGAGATATTAGAGATTGTTACTTACTATAGGAAGTTCATGTCCTTGTCAACGAAGATCTTGATATGTATGTACATCGATTCAAGTTGCTATAACCCATTACCGTAGAACGATGAAATTACCGAGACAAATGACTGAATGGTAGAGATAGTAACAGTGTCAGTGGTAATAAGAAACATTGAGCATCGAATATACGATCCAGGGAGAAAATGTAAATTAGTAAGATACAAACACAAGAGACAGTTTTGAGGAATTCAGAAGTTCAGAACTCAGAGGAAGGCAAATGATTTTGAGTCATGACACTAAAAGTCTTTAACCATTGTCTACGATAATCACAGTCACCACAACCAGGTAGTCAACACCTATTGACATTACTTACTTACTTACTTCCTTACTTACGCCTGTTACTCCTAGTGAAGAAGCATAGGCCAACCATCAGCGCTTTCCATCCAACCCTGTCCTGACAATCCTTTCCAGCTCCGTCCAGTTGTTATCCATCCTTTTCATATCTGCTTCTATTCCCCGACGTAATGTGTTCTTCGGCCTTCCACTTTTCCGCTTCCCTTCAGGATTCCAAGTTGGGATTTGAATCGTGATGCAGTTTGACCATTTGCGTAATGTATGTCCTATCCATTTCCATCGTCTTCTCCTAATTTCCTCTTCACCTGAAAGCTGGCGTGTTCTCTCCCACAGAAGGCTGTTGCTGATGGTATCCGACCAATGCATGTTGGATATCTTGCGTAGACAACCATTTGTTAATACTGGCACCTTGTTGATGGTGGTTATTGTAGTTCTTCAAGTTTCAGCTCCATATAGTAGAACTGCCTTGACGTTGATATTGAAGATTCTGACTTTGATGTTGGTTGACAGACAGTTGTTTTGAGTTCCATATGTTCTCCAATTGAAGGAATGCGGTCCATGCTTTGCCAATCCTCACCATTACGTCTGCATCTGAACCTCTTAGTTCATCGATGATGCTTCCCAGATATGTGAAGGATTCTACAACTTCCAGAGTTTCGCCATCAAGAGTGATTGGATTGCTGTTCTACGTGTTGTGTTTGAGGACTTCGGTTTTCCTCTTGTGTATGTTGAGGCCTACTGATGCAAAGACTGCTGCCAAACTGGCTGTCATTATCTGCATTCGTTCGTGTGCATGCGATAGGAGGGCTAGTTCATTTGCGAAGTCCAAATCGTGTAATTGGTTCTGAGCTGTCCATTGTATGCCGTGTTTTCGCTCAGATGTTCAGGTCTGCATAATCCAGTCGACCAACAGAAGAAAGAGGAAGGCAGAGAGTAGACAGTCTTGTCTGACTCCGGTCCTTACTTGGTATGCATCTGTCAGCTGTCCTCCATGCACGACCTTGCATTGTAGTCCGTCGTATCAGTTCCGGATAATCTCCTCAGGAACTCCATAGTGTCGAAGAAGTTTCCATAGTGTTCCTCTGTCTACACTGTCAAATGCCTTCATAATCAATGAAGTTGATGTACAGTGACGAGTTCCACTCAACTGATTGTTCGACGATTATCCGTAGTGTCGCATTTTGTTCTGTGCACGACCGATCTTTATGGAATCCAGCTTGTTGATCTCGAAGTTTGGCGTCCACTGCGTCCTTCATCCGGTTCTGCAACACCCTGTTAAAGACTTTCCCTGGTAGTGACAGTAGTGTAATGCCTCTGTAGTTTTCACATTTGCTCAGATCTCCTTTCTTTGGAATCTTGATGAAGTGTCCTTTTCTCCAGTCCACAGGCACTTGTTCTTCCTCCCAAATCTTCTTCAATACAAGGTGAAGCATGTTTGTAGTTACTTCCATGTCTGACTTCAGTGCTTCAGCTGGTATATTGTCGGATTGTGCTGCTTTCCCACTCTTGACTTGTCTGATGGTCATTCTGATTTGTTCGGTCGTTGGTGGATTAACACCTAAGGGAGGAAGATCTATGTGTGCTGCTTCGATGTCCACTGGATTCATTGGAGCCGGCCTATTCAGGAGTTCCTCGAAGTATTCTATCCATCTGTTACGCTGTTGTTGAATTTCGGTGATTGGCTTGCCTTCTTTGTCTTTGACCGGTCTCTCTGGTTTACTACATTTCCCTGCTAGTTTCTTCGTTGTATCGTCAAGCTGTTTCATATTTCCTTATCTTGCAGCCTTTTCCACCATCGTTGCTGGTTATTCCACGTATTTCTGCTTGTCTACGCCAATACTGTTCTTCACTTGCTTGTTTGCTTCTATGTATTCAGCTTGTGTTTGGACTTTCTGTGCTCGTGTTCGGCTGTTGTTAATTGTTGTCTTCTTGTTCTTCCTTTCTTTGATCCTGTCCAGTGTTTCTATAGAGGTCCATTGCTTATGATGATGCTACTTGAGGCCCAGAACCTCTTGACACGTTGAAGTTAATGCCTCCACGATACCTTTCCAGTTGTCCTCCATACTACTTTCTTCTTCTTTCAGTTGATCTCGTAAGGCTTGGAACCTATTGTTGAGAGGTATTTTGAATTCATTGAGTTTGTGAGTATCTCGAAGGAAGGCTGTATCGAACCTTTGTAGTGCAGTTTGTCCACTTGTCCAGTTCCTGTTTAGCTTCAGTTTTAAATTGGCCACAACTAGGTGGTGTGGTGATCTGAAGCTATGTCAGCTGCTCTCCTGGTTCTCACATCTTCCATTGTCCCATGTCCCCATGTTTCTACCCGAACTGCACTTATGTTGTTTTACTTTACACTTAGTCTTGGTGGCAGCCATATTGGTTTTTTCCTCCTTTTGATTGCTTTACCTGTGTTGACTGGTATTGTGCATTTTTGGTTGTGAATTGAGGCACTCTTCCAGAACTGGAAACACTCGGTGTTACAAGGCGAATAATTATTGTTTTTGAACGAATCTGTGCGTGGTCTATCCAGACAGGATAGAATGACATTTATTTGTTGTGATTGGTAATTTTCTTGCATCTTTAATCAACTTTCTTATTTATTGTAATTTAGATTTGATCAATTGAACAATTATTGGTTGGATATCTGAGTGGTCATATTTGTTTAGGTAATAATGCACATTTAAATTTATGGTAAATTATAGAACCGTCATCTTACCCAATTACTTTGTTTTGGTTTCAAACGGGCAATGGCGCGTATCTAACCCACCTAGACAGCTGTCCATCAGTCCAAACCGTAGTTTGGATCTTACAATATCTTTATATCCGGTGTTGTTTATCCCGACTTTGGCGTTTAGATCTCCCATCAGAATGGTGAGGTCCTTTCTTGGGCACTTTTCTATGATTGATTGCAGACGCTCATATGATTGATGTTTATTGTCGTCGTTGCTATCATTGGTTATTATTATTATTCCCAAACATCGTACGGGTATATAAGTGTTGTGAAAAAAACCATTTCGGGTTTCTTCAAAAAATGCAATAATACACAGTTTTCAATAATGTCAACATTATATTTGCCATATTTAAAAAAAACAATAGAGCAATAATAATAGAATATTAATAATAATAAATCGGGTCTGTGTAACTGAGAAGAATAATGAATGGAGTTTAAAGAAGAAAATGGAGAAAATAAGGGAACAGAAATAAAGGAGACGTGAAATACCCATAACATTGGGTAATATTCATTGTGGTCCCCTCCTTCTTTGTTATGAATGATGCTTTGACGATTCAGGATCCGTGGGATTTCCATCCTACAAGTCCATCTCGTGCTCATTTGGACAGCATTAGAGCAACTCCCTGAGTGTGTGGAGCATTTTAATCTTCGTGACCAGAGAATAGCTGCATCTCCTCCGTATTTAACCTTTATTGTACAGCGTGGGTCCATTGGATTTCGTTGATTCCTAGTACTCCCAAGTTGTATCTTCTTGTTTCCGCTGCTATTTGACTGGTCTTCCCAGTCTCCCACATTGTCCATACCTTTCATGTACCTGTAAAAATTGTTCTTCTGGTTTTTAGAAGGGCCATCGGCCTCGTGGCTTCTGAAGAAACTCGGCT